TAAAAGTGATGTACAATTGTTAAAGATATTTTTATATCATAATTCTCAACATATTCTTCTAACCACTCACTCCTTATCCTTATTTTTCTCTTTCCTCTTTCCTCTCTACTCTCTCCACGGTGGAAAGGCCAAGAGCCAAAATAGACCCCCTCTCTCTCTCTCTTGCTAGCCAACAAAGGCTGAGGGATCTCTCTCTCTCCTCTCTTCACAGTAAAATTTGTCTCTGTGACAAAGATTTTATTGTGGTATTGTTTTTTGTTGGTTGAGGCTTTGTTTTGGCTTCTACTACAATGATAATCAAATTTTGCGGAAAAATCAAAAATAACAACAAATCAAGTGTTATTATTCTATGCTTAGAATTTTTTATTTAAAGTTCTTAGTGGGTGATTATTTCATTATTTGTGATTATTTAGTTAATATTTGTTTGTATGGCTAGTAGAAAACAATTGGGTCGATATGAAAAGCTCAAAAAAAAAAAAGAGATGAATTAATGGAATCTCAAAAAAGGATCTCTTGATAAATTTGTAACTAGTAACAAAAAATATAGATAAAAATTTAGTAAATGAACAAATAATTACTCCCAATGAATTAGAAGATGATAATATAATACAACAAAATGATACTAACGAAAATATGCACAATTCTAGTCAAACATGTAATATGACAATAGATGATGAAGAACAAACAAAAAAATTAGACTATGAAAATTTTAGTGAAACAAGTAATTATAATGCTATGAATATTTATGATCCAAGTCAATGGAATAATATTGATACAAAACTAAGAGACTTATTAGTAGAAAAAGATCCTATTAGAAATAATGATTTAAATTTTTTCAAAGACGAGCTTTCTAGACATTTTTCCACTACATTGATAATGATTTAGATTTCCCAAAGACGAGCTTTCTAGAAATAATGGTTTAGATTTAGATGTTGCTATAGATCAATTAAAATGTCTCATTAATTTTTTTTTAAAATATTGAGAAAATAGATTTACAAATGCTATGATTTTATCTAAAGAGATTGCAATTAAAATGAGAATAGAATTTACATTTCATAAAAAATGTACAATTCGTAGGAAGAAACAATTTGATGAGAGTGTTCATGACGAAGTAACCAAAATCTGTTGAAAAATCTTTTAGAACTGATTATTTTATATACATAGTAGATAAATATTTTTCTCCGTTAAAGAGTAGATTTAAACAATTTGAAATATATGAAAATATATATGGTTTTTTATTTAATTTAAAAAAATTAAAATCGTTAGGAAATGATGTTTAAAAAATATTGTATTGATCTTGAGTTTTTCTTAAAACATAATAGTTTTTTTTATAGTGATGGTTTAGATTTATTTTTAGAACTAAACGTTTTAAAGAAAATTTTACCTACGGAAGAAAGTACTCCCATTGAAATATTAAGTTATATAACTGTTTCTGCAAAAAGAAGTTTTTTAATATTAAAATTAATAAAATCTTATCTAAGATCAACTATGCAAGAAGAAAAATTAAATGAGTTAGCAATACTATTAATCGAAAAAGATATGACAGCAAAACTTAAATATAAAATCTTAATTAGTACATTTACATCTCAAAAAGTAAGAATAATAAATTTTAAATAAAATATTATTTTTAAAAATAAAAGACATTTTTTATAGTTGCCGTTTTAAGCCTCAAAATGTCAAAGGCCGCCCCGCTCGGGTTGACGCTTTTTGCCATGAACGGACTGGTTGTGGACAGTAAGGCCACCTCGTTAGATGGTTCTTCATCGTCAGAGACGCAGCAAAGCTTTGGAGAGAGAGGGGGATGAGATCTGTAAGTGCACAATAGATATGTCTCCATGGTTTCACCGTTTCACAAAACGAACCACTAAACATGTATATGATGTTTCCAAAAACACAACCCCTTTCTGTCTAATTTTCTGAGAATGGAAAACAAAAAATCACAAAACAAACAAATTTTGTCATTTTTTTGTTTTGTATAAACAGAAAAACAGTTTTGGAGAAACAAATTGAAATTGACCAAAGTTCTTTTTTTTTAGGAGATAATTGATGAGCCCAGATTTAACTGGGTCAGGTCCAATTAATGAGATAGACCCCAATCAGTTATAAGGCGGGTCAAGCCTAATTTATGGATTCGGCCCAGTCTGGAGTTCAAGGAGTCCAGAAAGACTAGTGCATGTGGGGAGTAATTACCAGAATAGCTGCTCTTGAAGATTAAGACAATCTTTAATTGTATTTACTTTTTGTAACTATCTTCCTAAGAGAGCTAATACATTTACCCTCACGTCACCATCTTAACAAAGGCTCTGTGCCTATAAATTATAAGTTTTATTTACATGAGAGGACACTTCTCAACACACCCTCTCATAGCTTTTCTCTCTCTCAGTTATTGTATCATTCCCGGTGCTAACTATTGCTCTCTCTCTCGTTCACCTTACTTAATTAATAAAAGGTCCTCCTGCCACCGTTGTTGTTTCCCTGAGTGGAGGAGGTCACCCAGACCGAACCATTGTATATCTGTGTGTTGACTCGATATTATTTTTTTGCCATTGATTATTTTATTAATTGTCTCTTTAATTCCTTACATCATTTACTCGACTGTTGATCTTGTATAAAACTATTTTATGCATCATCAATAACAAAGTAAATTTAAAATGTCTTATCTATCTTATTAGTAAACTAGTGATACCCCGTAACTGAACTTTATATATACAAAATTATAATATTATGCGTGTATTAGAGTGTGTGTACAATTGAAGTGTGTATATATAATGAGTGTGTGTTAGAGTCTGTGTGTTGTGGAGTGTTTGTGTTGAGTTTGAGAAATTTGGGAGGAAAGTATGTGATAGGTGCGTGAAATTTAGGAGAAAAAATATACCCCCCACAAGTTCAAAAATACAGTTATCTTATTATATAGAAGTGATTATTACACCAAAAATTGACAAGTAGACGCGTTTCTAGTTTGCTATGGTGATATAACTTAGATAAGAAAAAAAATACTCTTAAGCTTGATATGTCATGGGGTAACCAGTGGTGTCAGAAATCAAAATAAAAAAGACAATAAAAATGTGAAAGCCATGAAAGATTCGTTAGGTAAGGCACGTTAGACGTTGTCTTTGAGAAAATAATTTTTTTATTATGCGACGGATGAATTCATGAAAATTCTAACCTTAGAATACGATGTCTAACATTTAAAACTATCTAAAACTGTATTTCTTAATAGAACTCGACAAATTAAAGAATATTCAATAATAGAAACAATGATTAACAATTGACTTCATTCCTTTGGCCAATGGTAAGAACCCTTTATGTTGTTCCATACCATACACCTCTTTAGAAGAGTTGTGACTCCTCATTTAAATGTCATATATACCTTTATTTGGAAGGATATAACCCTCATCTTCAAGAGTCAATTTAACCATCAATAGATAATAAGTTATAAAATTTATCATTAATAAAAAAATTTTGTCACAACTTATCCCAAAAAAGAAATAAGGTGGGGGGTAACCTCATTTTTTTAATCTTTTAATCATAATTTAAATCAGGGTAATTAACCTATGCAGTAATAATTTAAGTCATTCATTCAAATAAGAAATCCTCACATGTACATAGTACAACATTACAACAAAATTGGAGCACCATACTCTTAAAATAACTTGACTATGTACATTATGACACATGACATGGTGTACAAATTGACATCAACACTTCTACGCCAAGTTAACCTGTTTAATAGACTACCTCATAAAATTGAAGCACCTAAAAATAAACATCCGTTAGGGGTTAGCAAACCACACGCTTAGTGAATAAAAATTCTAAGCTTCAAAAGGAACGAGAACAAATCAAAGGTAAGATATACAAGAAAAACCCTTCACTTCACCTTTGGAAATTTTACCCACCCAACTCTCCAACACAAACAACCGGTACACACACATATAGGAAGGTGAGAGTGAAGATCAGAGGGACGGATGTCTCCATGACTCACTAATTCCTACCAAATTTCACTTCTGTTTCCATCTTTTATTTATTCACCACTTAATTTACAATCACTTTATAAAATACACCCAAACATATTACCATTAATAAAATTTAACGCTAGGGTTATTATTTAAAATATTATCTAACTCCTCATATCTACAATAACAGTAATTTAACTCCAATAATAATAATTATTTATATATTCGACCCTATACTATATAAATGGCATGTCTTGGTCTCACATATTAATATATATGTAGGGATGTTAATCGAGATGAACTATTTGGACTTGGCTCGGATTCAACTCAGATAAAACTATGTTCGAGTTCGACTCGTATTCTAAATGAGCTGAATTTGAACAATTTTTTTATGTTCGTTTAAAAAAATGAGCCTAAAAGGCTCGTCTCAAACTCGTAAAATTTAGCTCGTTTATATGTAAAATAGTCAAATTACTTTGACTAGGTTCGAATTCGGTTTGGGCTCAAGTTTGGCTCGAAGTCATAACAAGACGAATTTGAATAATTTTTTAAGTTTATTTAAAAAAATAAGTTCGTCAGACTTGAATTCAAGCTTATAAAGTTCGATTTGAATGACACCCCTATATATATACAATATGATGTTTAAAATTCGAGGCTTTGTCCCCTTCACCTTCCCTTTCCTTACTCATCCTTCGAAAGCCAAATTTCAATTTCCTCGTACAAAACTTTCTGAACAAAATAATTTAGTCCACTACACTTGTTTAGTCTACTAAACAGTTTTATTCTAAAACAGGTATACACTAATGACATGTTAACAAAATTTCATTGTTACATTGTTTTCGTGAAAATTGAGGCTAACTATTCTATTTGTGAATTACTTTCCAACAAGTACAATGGCATATTTTATCATTAAAACTTGCCACAATTGAAAATTTGAAGATATAAAGGGAGGTAAAATGTGTAATTGTAAATAATAATTATCCAAAATAAAAAAGAAAAAATAAATAAACAAATGAAACAACACAAAGTCCACCCCTCCCTTCCTAAGAAGATTGCCAAACAACTCGGCTCAATGATCTTCTTCATCCTTGCATGAATTCCTCTCTCTCCCTCTTAGATAGTTAGGATTCAAATCTCTCTTCATAATCATCATCTCTCTCTCTCTCACACACACACATCCGAACAAAACCAAGAACACAACAGACAATACTTGTACATGGCATCAGTCGCAACCCACTTCTCAGCATTCCTCTTCCTCTGCCCACTAGGCATCCGCCGCCTCCTCTGCTCATTCTCTCTCTATTTGAAAAACCCATCTCTCTACCGATCAAAGCCATGGTATTTCTCAGACCCCAGATGGAAAAACTTTGACTTCTTCACCCTCCTAATTGCCCTCCCAATCGCCTCATTTTCTCACGTTTTCTTCTTTCTCGCCTTCTCTGGCCATCCAACCTACCGATTCGCTTTCTTGGAACAATCGTTGATCATTTTCCTCTTCTGGGTCCTCCTCATTTTGATAATTGTCCGTGAAAATCTTGACCCTATTGCCGTTCCTGAGAATTTCATTTTCATTTTCGCTGGAATTTCATTTCTGATTGAATTTTCAATGAATGGGAAAGGATTTTCGGGTCTTGGTGGTGCTGTGTATGAATTGTTAGGTGGATTGACACTAGTTTGTGGTGCTTGTTGTTTTTATTTATCCATTAGGCCATCGGCCTTCTTTGCTGAGTTTTTTCTGTCTTCTGGGCTTATGTTGAAGGGGATTTGGGTTCTGCAAATTGGATTGTCATTGTACACTGATACATTCGCATTGAAGGGTTGTAACCAGGGGAAGACTGATGTGACATGTGAGCTTGAGGAGGATATGTTAAGAGGTATAGCATTGATGAATCTCTTGTTCACTGGGCATGTTATTGTGGTCTTGATCTTGAGTTTTGTGTTGTTCGGACTGTTATACTGTAATCGGAATATGAGGTGTGGTGAGGCAAGTGGGCCATTGTTGGCGGAGCTTGGATCAGAGACTATGCTGATGCAATCAATTCCTGAATTTGAGATGGAGTGAAAGTTTTCTGGTTGTTTTGTCTACTGTGTTGAGGTACAAAACATGGGAGGGGGTGGATGTTATCAGTTGTAGTTGTGAAAAAGTTTTGATTTTTTACAGGTAGGTAGTGTTGATTAACTTTTCGTTTCTTTTTTTTTCAGTTATCTGTTGCTGGAATACAGAATTCTTTTTTGACATTCATTAATGGAAAACAGCAATTCTTTGTTGTTATTTGCTGTTAAACATATGTATAGTGAGTGGCATTGATGATTACATTACTAAGGATGTTCTTAACTGTAGCATATTGTGTGTATGTCATACATTTATCTTTTTGAGAAGCTGCTAATTAAATGAAGGATACTGTCGATAGATGGCATTTTTGCTGAAATGAGTGCTATGAGGAATACAAGCCCTGAGTCTTGATCAGAATTCAGGTGAAAACTTAAGTAGATGGGACTTAATTGTTAACAACGTTGATTACATGAGAGACTCCTCAGAACTGAAATACATGAAATATATATTGGTATCTGTCATTGCATAATGAGATACGGGTAGGAGACACCCATAACCAATGGTGTGATTGATTGTAATACCTGAGTACCAGTTCTTACTTTTCTCAGATGGATCTACATAGAAAAGAAAAAAGAGTACTTGGAAGCTGACTAAGTAGACGGGATTGAGTTAACCCTTTGATTCTTCAGTTCACATAACAAAACTTCATGCAACAAAAATCACATCTTTGGTATCAACCATTGTTTCAGTATTTTTCTTTCAGATTATGGAGTTCAAAATCAACAAGTGGAATATATATGGGAATTCCAAAGACTTAGAGAAAGCAGAGAAGCTTTGAGGTATTTTTTCAGAATTGATTTCACCGTGTACATGACACCATTCACTTACAAAATAGCACCTTGTTTCAATATTTTCTCCAACTTGTGATGTTTAAAAGATAGAGAGGCCCCAGATATGAGAATTGAGAAGGTGGCAAATGAGTTTTGAGGTAATTCTCATTTAAAACTGTTAATTTTAATTGTTTCTGTACTTGGGAACTTTGTTGTGACAATTCTTTGATGCTTTACTACTATATTTGATAAAGGAGCTTTAAGCTCTTTTGATTGCTGAGAAATGCCCCCTTTTGTGTGAAAAGCTCAGTTGAAGATTCTTTCTTTTAACTAACCTGTTCCAAGAAAAACAGGCCATCTGTGATTTTTTCAACAGGGAAAAGATCCATTAGGTCAAGGTATTCTAATTTCTCGTTTCCTTTTGGTGAGCAAACTGGGATCAATTTTTGTTTCAAGGAAAATTCAAAATTCCCAAGTTGACCTATCATATATTGGCATGCTGGGTCATTAACCTGTTTCTATTCCCAATGCAAAATCTTTCTGACTGCATTATGGTTCTTTTTATCCTACAATAGCATTCATACTTTTCCCTTAAACTCCTGTGATGAGTTATAATTTATAAATTTGAATCCATTAAATGTGTTCGTCCTGCAATTTTCACAGATGAAACACACAAATGGTTCGGTATAAATTTGCCACCTTTCAGAACTTTTTGCAAGACTCATGGTGTATCCTTCCCAACATTGGATGAGTTATGTATACTGTGTTTGTCATGATTCTTCACTGATTGGATATGTTAAGGTGTCTGATCCTTATTATAATAGCTTTTTTGATGAGTATAAGTATAAAGCTTGTGTGGTGTTGATGACGGTGCTCTCATTCACCTGTTGCTTAAATGTTTGGCCTGCACGACAAGCATGGGAGGAACATTCAATATAATGTTTGGCTTGACAAAATATGAATTTTATATAAAAGAAAAAGTTCTAAGGGGTGTAACATAAGTAATTTGTACCCTGGGTTTGGTTTGATCTTGCCTTTATATTTATGTATGCATTTCTTTTAATGGTAACAGATGCACTGAAACAATAATTTTTGTAATTTAAGCATCTGGATAGTTACAGAATTTAGGGGTTTAAAAACCAAGATTTTTGACATAAGCCATAAGCTTAAAGACCTAGTTTATGAACACCACTGTTTGATAAAGTCAAGGTCTTGCATAATTCCTTGGATCCTAGTATATGAAAAGTTCAAGCATTATCAGTGTTCAACGCACAACGAAATAATGTAAGCTTGTAATTATGCTATTTCTGAAATTACAACTGAAGAAAACCTATGGCTATTCATAACTGCAAATTAGAAAAAAAAAGTCAGTCAAGTTTTCTATATCTTGTTGCAGAAGAGAACTTAGGGATGGTCAACCATCGTCGGCGAAAACGATTGAATCCATGGATTTTTAGTCTCGAGCGGATTCTTTTGATATTATTAATAAAATTGCACCTTTGAATAAGGGTTTTCGAATTTGATAGACCGACCAGTTTCCTCATGCACCTAGATCCTGCATCAAATTGTTTTTCTTTGTTAAAAGAAAGGAAATTGTACTGAAAATAATGTAAGCAAGATTAGTTTCTAACTAAACTTATGTGGTCAATTGGTCATATGTTAGTTTCTCTCTGTTTGAGTCCCTGCGCTAGAGGATGGTACAAGATTGGTCAACAGTTTATCAATGGAAGAGCATTGGGTTCAGCCGAGTTTATTTATCAGACTGCAATTGCTTATTTTATTTTCATATTTATAGTCTTTTTATCGTTTTGCTTATGATCCATGTCTAAAGGCATACCTTGGACATTCCTAATCGGTTGATCTTCTTCTATGCCAACCTTTTGCAGAATCTGCGTGACAATGAAAGTTAGATATGTTTAACTTGATGAGATGTGGGTGTGGCTCATGCAGTTATGCTTGTTTTTGCAATCTCAAGATAAATGCCAACAATAGAAGATATAGAAGGCAAGAGAGGTTACTGTGTTATAAATGTTGGTAAACCACAATGCTGGTTTGTATGTATAGGTTTTAGTTTTATTACCTCAACCAAGCTTTCCAAACGTTTTCTCATCCGTCTTTGTATGAAACCTCTGGTGCACTGCTTGACAGTAATTTTCAATCTTAAGGTGTGAAAACTTGAATGCTCTATAACTACATATACACTTTGTAATCTATGGTTACCTTCACATGATATTTTACAAACCCATAGAAGTTCAGCAGGTTCCATACAGTCTTGTCTAACTTCTTGCCTTCAACATGACGTGAAGTAATATCTGTAGTATGTCATGCCAGTTCATTTTAGACCAGGCCAACTCAAACTCTAAGTGGCAAATGAGAAAAAAGTGCTATTTTATACTTTAGTGATGCATCATGTGGCAGAATTGGTGAGTAAAATTAGATTGTCCATCATGGTTTGGATGAATGGCATGTCATTGTTGTTGTTTCTTCATTTGATTTGGAGATAAATAATTATGCAATGGTTTTCTTTAATGTTAAATTTTTTGCTTGAATCATGAAAAAGTGGTTCAGTACTAGTCAGTACTATTTTGATTAGAGTCCATACCAAAAGAGACGAAACCTCCATTGGTGCTCAGATCCTCAATGGCCTCTCCTCTTAACTCAGGAGGTGGAATAGGTGACCAGGTGCAAGGAGGTGCTTTTGCACATTCTTGTGAATTTCCAGCATCCATGAGTTCCTATGAGAGAAATTAGAATCTTTTAAGAAATAGCAATACAAGTTGATTTGATGTCAGGAGGTTTGTTGTGCACAAACCTGAAAGAAGGCTGTTGCAATGATTACGTCCGAATTGTCTTTAAAGCGCATTGGGAATACTGCAGTTATTTTTGCTGGCTGTCAACCACATGTTTCACCACCGTTTAGACATGTTAAGATGCATTAGAAAAAAGACCTAGTAATATTTGGAAAAATTGAAACTTGAACAGGTCAGGTTCCCACTTTAGGCATGAGTAGTCTGGGTAGTGCATGTTTTGATCAAATCAGATACATTTCCACGATTATTTATAGGTTGCATATTTAATTATAGTGATAGAAAGTTCCCCTGGTTGATGTTGTGGTAAAGGTTTGGGCTGCCAAGCATAAGAATGCAGGTTTGAGGTTGAGGTAAATGATGTTCTGTTGATGACACTAAAATTTAGGTAGATTCCCAGTCCACCCTGCGTGAAATCCCTAATTGGCAGGGCTAACATTGGGTGATGATTCTTTTTATTCCCAATTTAGTGCTAGAATTAAGTGTAACAGTGGATCAAGGTTCTTATTTTTTACCAAAAATAATTTCAGAAAGTTTTGTCGAAGTACATGACTTAAATTGTCAAATTTGGTCGACAATTTCAATTTGTTGGAAGTTTTGAAATGACCTTACATGTTTAAAGTCTTTTGACTCTGTACCTTTAATTTAAATTATGAGAGACAAGTAAAATTGCTAGGGGGCTATTTTGACATTCATTTTGCCTTGCTGCATTTTCATTTATCTTTTTAACTCAGCCACATAAGCTGTTATAATTCATAAACTGTCCACTGCTTAACCTACTTGATTCACGGGGAAAATAGAATCAGTTGTAAATTCACCCAGAATAGATTCTCGCTAATTCACAATATATATGTATTGTTGGGAGGTGTATCGTGATATGCTATAAGTGTATAATATGTCCAAACCAGAAAGCTCATGTTCTTGAATCGTTTTTTTTCTCTCATAGATTTCACAGGTTTATCTCTGAATTGGTAAGTCTTATAATTCTGCTTCGATTTTGTTTGACTTCCTACTTTGAGATCTCACTCACACCATACTTTTTCCCGAAACGTAGAGTATACAAATGTAATAGTACCTGTTTGATGACAAAGAAAGGCTCCCTTGGATGATAAACAAGTTTAATTGGTCTATACATCCCCTGAGATATCTCCTGGGAGTTGACGTTCATTAACAGTTCTTTCAGCTGGGAGCTTAGAATTACAGCTTGCACTGAGGAAATCTCTGAGATCATTTTTATTGACTCTGGAAGAAGAAACACGCACCGACACACCAAAATGAGCATTCTCAAGTTGTTGACTAATCTAAAAAAGAAAAAATACATATGTATATGCACAATGCAAGCTATGGAGAGAGCATTGTTTCAGTGAACATCAATATTGCATAGCATGAAGACTCAACTGCTATCTTGTTTTATGCCCTATTAAGATGGCCGGAGAATTAGATTCCTGTAAAACAGGAAAACATAGAATTCGTATTGCTTTCAACTGTTACACAACTATCTCTCCACTTTATTTCTTTTTTAACTCTCTCTTACTGAGTTTTTGGCTCATGGACACATCATAGTGGAGATTAATATTTAGTGTAAAATTAAAGTTCTCCACAAAGTTGTAAGCCTACTGACTGACAGTTTTAACTCTGGACTCTATATGTTTTTAAGGACTAGGGAAGTTGTCCTTCCTTAAATATTGAGTGCCTATGCATACTATCACAGATATTTCCATCCATTTCCTAAATTGACAAGGAAACTTCTATGGGATTAGAAATGACTAGATAAATTAAGAGAGAGGCATGTCATGCCTTATTTCCATGTTTAAAATTTATAATAGTATCTTTCAGCGTTATTTTATAATGGAAAGATGCTTATATCCCTTTGTTTAATATTGCTCTTGGACAGTACATTCCCGAGATTGTTTCGTCTTTTTTCATGAAAATATCATAGCAGTTCTCGGAAGGAAATATCATAGCAGTTCAATTTGTGGTTAACATTCTTTTTGTTTTCTATTCTTCGGTGAATTTTTTCGTTTCATAATTTCAGTATCATATGATATTGTCTATATGCTGCATGTGGTTACTCGAAAGACTGAGGCAAATGTCCCTTAATTTGGAATTCTGCAGCCACTCTTTCTAAAGTTTTCGCATTTCAGATTCTTCATCTCCTCTGTTTTAATATGGTATTTACAATCTTAGGTAAAGGATTATTGTCATATGAAATCCCCATAAGCAACTCTCAGACAAATGCATGAAATTTCTAAGCCAATAGAAAAACTAGGCCTTACACCTAGAACAAACAAACAGGTTTAGGGACATTTAAGTGATAACATGCTAAACTAATACCAATGAACCATTGGTGAACCACAAAAGTCGTGTAGAATTACTAAGTACAAACCTTTGCCATGAGGAATTCTAGCAAAGTCCAGTCTTAAAGTAAGCTGATATCCTTGTCTTGGAGGTTCTACAATCTCCACAGCATCTGAACAAATTCCCTTTACCATCTCTATTGTGTAACGTGGAAGCCCATGTGAGAGTAGGATTCCTTGAGACAGTAGTGGGGTTGATATTGACAAGTGGGTATGATGTGGATATGATGCAGAAGACTGCTAAATTTTATAGGACAACTGTGAGAATAATTCAAGAATGACAAACTGCTAAAAATATTAACGATCAGAACACAATCTATTCCCTCTCCAACATGCACTTTTCCTTTCACTCACATCATTCCTTAAAGTGTTTGTTCTAGTCTTGTTTTTTCACATTGGCTTCCTACCTTTATGATGTCCTTAGATCTAAATAATTCTAGAATGACAAAATGCTTTACTTCTCCGCCATGCACTTTTTCTTGCACTCAGATTATTCCTTAACTTGGTTGTTCTTGGCTGTCTTGGTCTTTTACATTGGCTTCCCACCTTTATCTTGATATTATAGTTTGATTCTCAAATTTTAAATTAACTATGACTACGATGGCTGATAGGAATGCTAAGTAAACTTTCAGTTACTTGAGTCCATGTAATGGACAGAATACTGCAGAGTTTAGTTGTTACCATGAGAGCCAAAACCCGCTGATTAACTGTACTATATGAGAATCTGCTATGCTGAGCTTGCTGAAGGATTTACCTGAATATGGTATTCCACAGACCCAAATTCATGCAAATGATGATCACTCTCCAAGGGTTTGTCAGCACTGTCATAAAACAAAGAACAGCGATTATTAAAAAGATTACTTCGATTTGTTCCTAATAATAGGTGAGGCTAAAATTCTTAGATATCCATATGATTCAAATTTCACTAATGAGTTTAAATTTTCTTTCTTTTTCTGCTTGTCTGGGCAGCTGAAGTACCAACTAGAGCACTGTTGTTATTCAAGACATCATGCCCATAAAATAAGGATAAATATCATTAACTAGAAATTAATGATACGGATAAATGTTTAAAGCAAAGTTGCTACAACACGTAGAACATTGATTTTACAAGCGATGAGTTATTGATGAATAGCAAGATGTATATTTTTGGGTGATTCTAATTGCTCTATCATCTGACTTATTGATTTCGTTTTCTCAAGTTCAAGTTAGGTAATTAACTAAGTCTGATGTGCATGATTAAACACAATGATTTAATTGTTGAATGTCTGATAATTGTCATCTTGCACCAGAAGAGCTTAATTGTCCCCTAAACAAATGCAGATGTGGTCTAAAGTCTTTTCAGTGAATTGTTTGCATGATACTCCATACCATGTCATGGCAACTAAGCCACTATTTGTATGATGTAATACTAAGATATATAGTTATGTTTCTGAGTAAGAGTTTTTCCAGACTGAATCCACAGGTTCATTCCCCCTTGGTGGTCTATGTTTCTAGGACCAACTAAAATGATTAAAGGGAACTTCATATGATCCACTAATTAATAACAGTACACAGGATTGGAAATCTATGTGGAAACACAGTTTTGTTGTCTGCCAAACAGCTGGGTGCTCTCAGGGAGAATGACTTTCACTTCACTCCCTTGTTTTAGAAGTGAATCAGATCCTACTATGACTAGTTCCTTCATTCATTATCTAGAGTGGCTAATTGTGTGATTTCATAATTGTGCTGCATTCTTTTATTACAAGTTTTTATGACTGTTTGTATTGCAAATAGACATCAAAAAGTTATTTTTCTATAGGAACCGAAATGATCATAGAAATTATTCCTTTTAATGCAGTTAATTTTGGTAGACTGGTTACAACAGCCTGATTGAGCAAACTTAATATGTACATGGCAACTGGAGCTATTCTAACTGGGAGAAATTAGCACCCCTTGCTGAATTTGTGGCCCACATGTTCAAACTTGAAAGTAAGTAGCTTGCTTGTCATTTGTATTCTGACGCATCCTTTTGGCATTGGCTGTGACTGTGAATGCTAGGACCCTATCTATCTTTTTTTATCTAAATAAACCAAAGCCTTTCTTACTAATGGTGTCTCTGGCTTAAACACATGGAGGATGTATAGCTGATATAGAATCTTATGGCTATTATTGTGTGTAATTCATATCGAGTCTGGTTGCCTCAGCTTGGTGCTATTACATTTCATCATTCTTTTACAGCATTTGTAGCTTGGTGCTGGGACACATACATACACACAGAATTCTAATAGGTTGTTAGAATTGCACTGTGATTAGGACTACAATAGACTTTTGTGTATCAACTCATGTTGGAGAACATATTGCATATGGATTGTGGTTAACATAAAGAGTAGTCTTGTTAGAAAAGAAGAAGCCTCGTACCACAAAAAGTCGAATTTCTTTTTCGTTGAAAACACAGGTGCTTACAATATGGTTGGACATCCACATAGACAAGAATGCTACTTATGCAGTATAGATAGGCTGTGTGTCTTACCGGTATAGTTTCAGCAGAATCTCCTTCAATGCTGGTGATGCCCTGTCAAAGCATGCCATCTCTCTCCTCTCTTTCTCTGTCTCTCTCTCTCTCTCTCCCCATTTATGGGAGAAGAAGTGAAAACTGTAACATGCACATTTCACTCTCACTGGTAGGAGAGTAAGCACTTTGAGTAAAATGCAAGCCCCTTGATGCAATCATGTTTAGATATCTTTGAAGCAATGTACCTACCTAAACCTCTCTCTCTCTCTCTCTCTCTCTCACACACACACACACACACACACACATTTTACTTGTTTTCAAAGCACAATAATTTAATCACTGTATCATATCCTTCTTGCTTTCTTTCTTTCTTTCTTTTTTTTCTTTTTTTTCTTTTTATGCAATGTATTTATTGGGTTAACCGGCCTGAACAGATAATCCTTCCAACCTTGATGAAGGCAGGATTTGATCCCTGTTCTTGTGCTATATTACCTTTACGCTATAGTATCTCTTTGTCCAGAACTGTGAGTTGATGATGCAATTGAACTCTTGAGTTTCACCATTTGCATCAAGCAAGAGTAATTCTACAAGTACATTGATGGGTGATTGTTGGTTTTCTTACTAGTGGAACTGGGAAGCCTTCGAATTTTTGTATGATTGAATAAAGAAGTAGTCAGCACAAGTCTGGACATTCTGTAATAAAAAAAAAATCTCAATTTTTATGTATGATCGAATAAAGATGTTACAAATGGAGTTGTTCGCGTATTCTAATAAGTGACACCTGGCATGGCAATAATGGTTGGCAAAAAGTCAAGCAAGTATTTAAAAAGAGATAGACAATTCTTCTAAGTAGGGGGGATTGAATATTAGATGGGTGAAATTCTCCTAATTAGATTGGTAGATTGTTAGCCAAATCGGAAGTGACATACGTGCACCAAACACCCTCGATGTATGTGCACTAAACTTGAATGAATATTTAGTCGCGTATTTGGGATAAAAGTTGTAGGGGGGACAAGTATAATTTATCGTAAATTCTAAACTCTCAGGCTATCAAAGTACCAAACCCCTTAAATTCCACTCATTTAACCTTTGGCCCCTCACGTTTTTTTTTTTCTAACCACCATACGAATAAACAACTGTTATGATTAGTTTATCATTAAATCACCAAAATATAAAAAGAGAATTATATTCAGATTCTTTAAAATTTATTATTTAATTACTTAGACTTCTTGACATACAGACTTTTTGAAGTTTGTATACACGTAACACTTAGATTTTTATTGTCAATGTCCGTTAATATATCAATTAATAAATTACACCTAAACCCTTTGAAATTTGTAGACTTATAATACTTAAACCTTTTTAGTTTGAAATGTTATATTTAGAATAAAAATATTTTAACCAAATATTAAATATCAAATATTTTAAATCTTATAACTAAAATTCATGTTCTATTATATCATTTATTGAAATAAAATAAAAAATTATTTAAAAAAAAATTGTAATTAGTGTACAATCATACTATCTATTAGAATAAAACTAAAAAAATTAAATAAGGGGTGTAAGTCATTCATAATCGAACATGAATTTTAGTTCAATATAAAAAATAAAAATCTATTTTTTTTAAAAAAAATTATAATTGATATACAATTATATTATCTATTGGAATAAAACTAAAAAAAATCAAATAAGGAGTCTAAGTCATTCATAAATAGAACATGAATTTTACAATCAAAATTCATGTTTTATTATGTCATTTATTGAAATAAAATTAAAAATAAAAATGTAATTTTTTCTTAAAAAATTTATAATTAATATACAATTATACTATCTATTGGAATATAACTAAAAAAATCAAATAAGAAGTCTAACTCATTCATACTAGAACATGAATTTTACAATCAAAATTCATGTTGTATTATATCATTTATTGAAATAAAATTAAAAAATAAAAAAATATTTTTTTCTTAAAAATTCATAATTAGTATACAATTATACTATCTATTAAAATAAAACTAAAAAATCTAACAAGAAGTCGAACTGTAATGGATACAATTTTTTTTAACTTTAATTGGGGGTAATTTAATTGTTTAAACGATCAAATTAAATTTCATTAGATAGTATAATTATATATTAATAAAAAAATTTAGATTTTCATTTCAATAAATTTCATGATATAACATAAATTTTGATTATAAAATTTAAAGTATTTGATATTTTATTTTTGATTAAAGTATTTTTTATCTAAATATAATATTTTAAACTTAAAAGGTATAAATATTATATGTTTATAAACTTCAGGGACATCATCGGCAAGGCCTAAGTGTTAAATGTATACAAACTTTTGGGAATTTATATGTAATATTTTAAATATCAATGATACAAGTAATTAAATAACAAATGACAAATATTAAAGGGTCTGAGTATAATTTTTCTAAATACAAAGTAAACTCTCTCCCTCTGGTTTTTCGGCTTCGAACATTTCAACCTTAAGCTTGTCTGAATCCACAGTTTTCCCGTTTATTGACATTATTTTTGTCGTTGACTTCTCTTAACGATCAGTTGCTTACCAATTTCCTGATCGCTTTCATGTTGGTATGTTGAGTTTGTGTTTAATGTGTTATTTTCTTGACTATACCGTATTGGATCGTCGAAATTCACTTGCAAAAATCAAATTGTAAGGGGTTAGGTATTTTGCATTTTCAATTTGGAGACTTGGGTAAGATGGGTTTGTTGATTATACCACCCAAAAAATCATCTGTTTGCGGGTTTTGTTTCTGAGTTGATTGGTGGGAAGGGCTGTAGATTTTGTGTTAAAATTGTAGTTGTCAATGGATAAAAATAGTGAAGCTACTACTAATGTTAAGAATGCTGGTAAGAATAAGCCTGTGACTATTGTGGCCTCGCCGAAGATTGTCTTGAATGGAGAGAGAGAAAAGAATGATGAGTCTGAATCATTGTTGCCATCTAGGAGAGGTGGGTTGTCAAAGAAGTTAGCGAATCCGAGGAGGAAAGTGCAGTGGAATGATAAAAATGGAGATAAGCTCGTCGAGGTATTGGAATATCAACCAAGGTAAGTGTATTGGGGCGGTTCATTTGATTACATATGGGCAATTTGTTTAAGATTTATTAACAATTTTGATGTTTGTTCCGTTTTGAATTTGTTTATGAACTGGGCAAGTTGTCTTATCTTGATGATGTCTTAGCATTTTTTCTCTTGATAAGCAATATATCCATGTGGATTAGAACACCTAGATGGATTTTATATGGATTCAGATAATTAAATTATGTCAACCTATTTATGAGCCAGTATATGTCCTTGGTATCACTTTTGAATTAATATCAGATGGCTAACTTGAGTTTGTCTTGAGTCTAACCTGACAAAACAAAACAAAAATTACTGTAAGAACAAGGAGACGTTCTATAATTGCTGGAATGAATAGAACAAATGGGTCTATCATATAATTTTAGTAATAGAAGTGAAATTTGCTTATGCCCTTAGCGATAGAATACCAATGTGCGTTGATGATTTGTGATGCCTATGGAGAAGATTTACGTTTTGTTCAGAATTATAACTGGGCTAGAGTTTGCTTGCATAGTGCAATGTGAATGAGGATGAGATGGAGGTGGACTTGGTTGTGATCTCAGTTGAGTTTGATCTTGTCAGGTAACGAGTAATGCTTCTATCAGGTCAGCCCTATTGACCAAGAATAAAAGTGTACTGTGTGAACCGTTGCTACAGTGCTTTATGCATTCGAATGACACGACTGAAACCATATCGTACTTCTAAAATCTGCGGCTTTAGAGGTGAGATGACTTAGAGGCAACCTAAAGATAGACCCTGCAGGCCACTAAGTATGTTAACTGTGGGCGGTTTGTAATCTGAGTTACTATAGTTCTGTTCTTCTTTTCCATCATGAAATGCACAGCTCATATAAACGTGTATATTCAGTTAGCCATGCGAATGAGTTGTGGGGCTTGACTGCTGAAATCACTTGGACCGAAATAAATTATGTTCCACATCACTCTAGTAATAAATTCAGAAATATCTAAACTTGAAAACATATTCTTGGAACTTTCAGAACCGTGGCTCAATTCTGTTTAGCAGTTAGCCCACAAAGTTTTATTTTTCAGTTGCCCCTGAGGGTGTGTACATATAGTACATCGGGTCTATATTTATATCCAACACTCCTCTTATGAGCATAAGTCCTTGAAGTAAGGACACTATATGATGTCTCTTAAGCACCAGGGCTCTATCACAGCATCCATAAAATGCATGACTGACAAGGCTCACATCAAAATGCCCAAACTCCATGAACCCACTGGGTACAAATGGGTGGACCTGAAGGGTTATTATCTTGAGGTACAAAGTTCAATTCTTGACCCAGTTTACCCAATGCGTGTGGTTTGAAGGTAATTGTCCGCTAACTTTGAGGGCATGGTTCGAGGGTAATTACGTACCTCAATAATGTGTTGTAGCCATGATTCCAAATGGCATGTGGTTAGAACGATCTTTTACCACCAAAATAAAACATTGGGAAGGTTTATGCCACATGAAAAGGTTTTTATTCTTTTTGGCCACTTTCTCATGCCGTAGAATTAAGTCATGTCTATGCTGCATTTCCTGCAATTAGAAGATAACAAGGACTAGGCATCTCTTGGCTTAATTTGTCTTCTGGCTTCATTGTCATAACTCTAGCTGGGGATTTTGTGACTAGCTTGGAGAAATAATATCTATGAGAACCATATTAGTGGTTTAGTACTAATGCACTTAATTTTTCTAGTAGGTTGAATGACTGTGCTTAGTAATTTAAAAATCTAACATTATATTTGGATTTCTGGTTTGTGAGATTTCATGATGCCACTGGCTGCTAGCAGCTCTCATTTTTACCTTAATATTTTGTTTGTCTTAACCAATATTGCATGACTTATACTGAGCTATGCTTGTATGATTTCTGAATTATTGAAAAATCACTGCTGCTTGTCATGTTATCCTGATCTCACGTATAGTTTCCTCTTTGTGCCTGCAGTGATGTGAGTGACTCTGATGACGAGGATTCGGATTCTTGCATCTGTACTATAATGTAGATGTCATTGAAATATACCGACTTAGCAAAAATTGTCTGCTGAATCATTAAACGGTCCTCCTCCAGCTTTGATCTCAGCAAATCAGCGAAAAGGTGGGGAATTGCTGCTTTATGGACCATAATAGTTCCGGATAATTGAAACAGCAGTTACTTATATTGTGGAAGCAGTTTGTTTAATTTTGTTTAAAGCAAAGGTTAGTACCATGTCTTAAATTCATTGAGCTGGCTGATGACAAGAGCCTAACTGCATTGATTTTCTTCCTTGAGTGAAAGCTACACAATTTGTAACATAGTCAGTGTACCATCTGATATATATGTGTGCCCAACAATTATATTACTGAGTAAGGACCTTGGTCTTCATTTACAATGGAGCATCATGTGCTTCTCTTCTGTCACATCTTTCTTCTTAGATTTTTAACATTAAATAAAAAAAATTACATTATACCATCATTAATTTGCCTTGTGTACCAAGATAAGCTGTTTTAACAAGACATCCTACTCACAACCATGAAAAGGGCCGTGCATGATCATTTTACTGTTCATGATGATCACTTTTAATAGGTAGCTCTATTTTGTCATCTCTTTTGCTTGTTAAAATTTACCATCTACTAAGAAACCTCAGTTGTGCCATCCTTAATTCTTTCCTTATGCACCAAATGAATTTGTTTTTGAAAATCACACTTCTCAACTGTAGTTGTGGCTCAGATATGAACAGGGCAATTCTTTGGTCACTGCTCATATAGAAACCATTGATAAATTGTTCTTACTTCTGTATGTAGCCATGTACCTACTTATACAAATTGGGACAGTACTTTTTGCTCAGTAGGGCTGCATTATTGTAAGCAAAAGATGACACAAGAAAAAAAAACAGTACGGTTTAGTTTGAAAGAACAAGTTGAAGTCATGGTCTTCTGTCTGTGTTCAATACGAAAGCTTATTAACCAATGCCACATCTGAGGTGCTTGTATTTTAAACTGACTTCAAACTTCTGCATGTATTCCACATTGGATGCTGTATTATGATGCCTCACCACACCCATTTTGTTTTATAGGGTTCTAGCCTATGATTGCATTTGGGCTATTTTGTAATTTAATTTCAACTGCTCTACATGTACACAAGCTCTTTAGCAGCATGTCCGTAAATTCTAACACACCAACCATTAGAAGCATGGTTGGAAATTCATTTTCCATATGGTTCAAGAGCCATTCAATCCTGTGTTTTTTCACTGCTTAGTCTTCTTCTCTTTCATCTCTAGTCTCTCATGGATTCCTCTAACCTTGCTACTGCTCCCTCTTCCTCTCTTCCTCTCTTCCTCTCTTCCCCTTTGTCCAGTACTGTCAAATCTCTTCCTCTCCCTTATCTTCCCTTCCATCATCTCCTCCATCCATCTCTGATATTAAGAACTTTGTCTCCTTGAGCTCTCCTGTACTAATTTTCTCACCTGGAAGAAGGTTTTTTGTACGTTTCTCCAAATTCAAAATGTGCTTGGCTTGGTTGAAGAATATATTCCTTGTCCTGATCATTTGCATCCTTAGTACTCACTTTGGATTCATGTGTTACTGCAGTACCTCCATTACCACTTTAACCAGAAAAAGAGAATCTTTTGAGACAGCCAAGGAGTTTCTGCATCAGTGGTTTATCATTTCGTCCATCATCATCTCAGAGATCCATTTACCTGAAGGGCAAAGTTTACAACTTAGGCTCTCCAGGAGTTAGTTATCCATCTTCATTTTATTCAGATATGGTTACCCAACATAGTGTAAACCATAGTCCGTTTTTAGTTAAGATTTGAAAAATGCAATTCTACACCCTGCTTGGATTTGGGTTGGTGTTTGACCTTCTAAGGGCCTAAGGGTTTATATGTTTTTAGGTGTTTGAAAATTTTTGACTAAGCCATCCATTAATCTACTAATACTTATTGAAAACACTTCTGGTATAAATCGCCTATTGTTTTGAACAAACTTCCTCATCTTTGATATTCAATTTCGTAACTCAAAATGAAAATTGTCTGATAAATGGAATCACATTTCTTTTATCTGTCTTGAATGTCTGGGGAAAGGAGTCACAAACAAAACCAAATGATACTTTTTTAACACTATATAAACCCTAAACACATAAACATGTGCTAAAAGCAATCAGTATCAGAACAAGCTCAGACTCGGGGACACAAAAGAATAGCACACTGAAATTATTCACTCTCTTCTCTAACACATGCTAATACAAACAAACAAAGACTAGCTTTAGGTGGAACTTCTGTCCAAAGGTCCTCTTCAATCTCTTTTTCTGTGCTTCCATATTGGTTTACTTTATCAATGTAGATGCTTGAATACATCTCCTCTTCTGGAATCATTTCATCATTCCAGGAACAACTTGAATCCAGCCAGCAATTTGGCGATCCTTATAATCTGTAAATTTTCTCTACTGATGAATTTGATCTGTTGAACATGTTTTTGTTTGATGACATGGATGCATCTGCAGTGGTGCCACTCTTGGCAATGGCTTCTATCTCAGATGGAACCAACCAGTTTGAGAGGCTGACATCAACAGCAATGTTTGGCATCAGAGGCTTGGAATGGTGTAAGTTTGGCAGAGAATTACAATGAAATAGATTGAAACTAGGCATTGAACTTAAGGTTATCTTTTGTTCTTGGTCAAATGCGACATTCTCCTTCTTTCGCTGCTTCAATGGTGGTGTTTCTGTAGCTTTAACAGCTTTCCATTGGGTGATATTTTCCACTGGGTTCAGCACAGAGTGCACGTATCGACTCCTATCTCGAGCATGACTATTTGATTCAGGTTTCTTCAGTTCTTCATCCAGTGAAGCACAATGGTGCATTGTAGTTCGGGTTTTGTTCTGAGCCAATTGAGCTAAGCTAACTCTTTTCTCTAACTCCATAGATAACGAGTCAAAATGCTTTGAAAACTCTACTTGTTTAAGATTGTTGCTACCATGATTGTCTTCTTCATCACTATCATAGCTGTCATTGCCATCTAGATCACTTTCTTCAAGCTCTATATCATCGTCTTCATCGTAGCCATCTCTCCAGTTTCGGTATCTGTAATTAGAAGGGTATGATCCCATTCTTTCCATTGATATGCCTGCTTTCTCTGTTTCTTCTTCATTATCCTCCCATGCTGTCTCCTCATCTTTTGATATTGGCTCATAAGTTTTGACATTCAAATTAAAGCTCACTTTCTTTTTCGTTCTTCGGCTCGATTTTTCTCTGTGTTTATCTCTATAATCAAATCAACTGAGAAAGTAGTAATAACATATCATAAGAAAATCAGGAACACATATGTTAACTACTTACATTAACTCAGAATCTGGGCTGATGGGTTTCTCTCTGCTGTCAAGCTTTATAATGACATTAGAGTCTAGAGGTTCATAGCTTCCATGTACCTGTAGAAATTTTCAGATCATAATTTTTCGACGAAAAACAAAAAGAAAAAAAAAAGTTAAACAGAAAAGAAAACTGAAATTTGTCGTTCGATGAAGATTGAAGATGCTCACTTGTTCGCCATATGGATTTTTACTGGGTGGTTTTCGACGTTTTCGTTTCTTGGAGAAACCAAAACAGGCAAGAAAGTATGTCATTCGGACTCTGCTAGATTTTTGGAGACTACCTTGTTGAGTAGGAATGGTGTCTTTATGGTGAGAATGAGAGTTCCTCTTACACAGAAAGAATGGAGGAGGGGAAGAGGGGGGGGGGGG